GTCCAGGCAAATTTCATAATTAGCGTTGCATGGTCATCGGCGGCTACTGTATGTAATTCATTGAGTGTAGTTATGTTTACTACTGCACCTCAAAGGTCGGAAACCTTGGGCTTCCTGTTGGTACTTTTAGTTTTAGTGTAGTTCTCAGTTTATTGTTTGGCTTAAAGTTATAGCTTTAGATAGCTTAATTGTTAATTCAATCTAGTTTTTAAGCGACATGCGGTTGCTTCTCGACCTATCGTATTACAATATCCCTTCAAATGCATTAGAAACTATTGTGCGTCTTAAAAATGCGGAAGCCTATTTTTTATGGCTTTATTTCTATCTGTAAATTGCGACTCATTTCCAAGTACTTTTGCGCAGTTCTTGCTTCGCATTGGTCATGTTTGTCCTTTTAATTATCGCACGCACATGTTTGGCTATTGGAATAATCATTATCTATTTGTTTCAGTTTTAATACGCCCTACTTTTCATTAGTTTTTTCTAACCGTAAAACCCCCAGTAACATCACAACCGTAAGTCATAAAGCTACGGCTAGGGATATCTAAGGACTTCGGGCAACCTTAGAGTTACCATTATATATTTTGTTTTCCTCAATGTTGACATCTGACCCCTAGTAGATGAGGCATCCAACATTCGACAGAAGTAAGTTAAGCGTAATAAAGCGGCAGTTAGGTTTACCAAGCAGGGGTCCCAGGTAGTGGGCAAGCAGGAAGGGTGTAGAGAGGGAGAGACCAACAGCAACCAGGAGGGGAGCCGAGAACTGAAGAATGCGCAGGGTCCGAACAGCCGGCCAATTTTGTAGAATATCATCGTGGATCTCCTCGAGGCGATCCCGCAGGCGCCAGCGTGGTCCCACCAACAGGATCAGAAGCCAAACCTTCAGGTGCATTATACCGAAAATCCAGTGCTGTAAAGGGAGGGAGAGAAAGCGGGCAAGCTAGAGATAACTGCGACAAATCACATCGTAATTAACCAAGAGAGACTACTGACAAAACCGCACCACTGCCAAATTTTTGCAAGCGATTCCGAAGGTCAAAAAGTTTCGGCGGCCATCGGCCGCCTTCTCGCACCACTTCGGATTGCAGTCGCACACAGATTAGTGACGGCCATAAGGCGTCAGATAACGAACCCAAAAGACCCACCGTCACGGCAGGAGAAATCTGGAGTTATCTAGAGCAGCTGGTGCAATTGGGGACAAAAAACTGCGTCGGAGAAACTAGAACACTTCCCAAGACGCGCACACACACAGCAGTAATGAGGACAAAAGACGCCAGTTTTTCAAGTCGCGGCAAATTTGACGAGACCTGGCCATACATACAAATCTGTTGAGGCCGAAACGTTCACGAGATGTGACAATCGTGTGAGTCGCGAGTTACTGTAGTCAAGGCAGTCACGCGTCCCTAGCCCGTCAATAAGCGCAATGACCTGTCCAACCCATATTCGGTACTGAGGCTCAGTTTTTCCAAAAGAATTAGCCCCTCGGGGAACGCACAGTCGCAGGCGTTTTCTAACAGCAGCGTCAGGGAACCAGACGGCCGAGCAATCATCACGCCCAAGCCCAGCAGAGGTAATGAAAGTTCAGCAGGTTACGACCCGCACGCCGACCATTAATGGATTAGCGCACAAGCGAGCAACTATCCTCAATAAGGGAAGCAGTTAATTGTCAAAAATGTGCAGCATGTTGCGGTCAAGGATGAACCAGCTACTGTAACTACAAACAGTAAGATTGGTCCGTCTAATAGAAGAAGGCGATCAACTGTTGGGAGCAATTTATTGGGTACACAAGGCAAGTTTCCCTGGTGTGTAAACAATTCGACCGCGCGGGGACATGTGGGCAACGAAGTGATGTGTACGAGCTTTGTCCTTGTTTGTGTCAGTATTTGAGAGTGCTTGTTGGGTGTATGTGATTAGTTGGGTCAAACAGACAGTCCGGGACGCGTAAACACAAGGGACAATGGGTGAAAAGGCAGGATGGCCGATGCGCTCAAGATAACCTTGTCTGCAAGCGTGATCTTGACTAAGCTGAGGTCAAGTCTGGTGGCGGTCGTGCTTTGGTGGAGCGCCTATTAGCTAGCGAACTTGTTGCGGTCGTTTGGACGCAGGAGAAAAAGGAGCAGCCGCTTGTCCAAGCCTGGCGGGTATCGTGACGCCCGAGCATTGGAGCAGCTGCTACAAGCAGCAGAGCGACTGTAAATACGGCAAATCCCCGGGGTATGAAGTACCCGTTCCTGTTATTACCTCTGAGGTTGTGGATCCATGACGGAATCCGAAACGTCAGCCGGTTAAATTTCTTTTCCCAGCGATCACATCTGCTTGATCTCACCTACGTCCTGGGACCCGCAATTAACCAACATATCTGAAGTTGACCTTGCTAGCTGACAGAGTTTTAAGAGACTGTTGTGGGACATCATGACTGTCCAACTGCAGTGGGTAGTACGCATTCGACACACTTAAGCATTAGACTCAAGAAATTGAGCGAGGGATGGGAGGCAACTGATGTTATAAGGCTCTTTAAAATCCTGAACGAGGCAAAACCAGTCAGCAAACTTGATAATATCGGCAGCAGAATCGGCCGTCGCAGTCGCCGCCGCAACACCAGCGCAAGGCAGGAAAACATACTGCTGTTTTCAGAATTCGACAAGGCTGTCTTAATATGTGTGGGACTCCTATCACTCTGGACAGTTGAGATACTTATCCCTTCGGGTGCTAATCTTCCACATCCGAATTCTTTCAGCCAAATGACAGCTTTTAGCTCTAGTGAGAACACCGTCAAACATACTGCCGCATAGGTCATTTAAGTTTGCATTTAGCAGCAAAACCTTTTGCTCGAACCCCGCCCCCACGTTTATCGGTGCGTATCGATACCCAAAATAGAGGGTCACTTTAAAAACTAATTACAATGCACACACACACACACACACATCCCAGCGTCTGCCGATAATCTCGCACCGGCGTGCGTCATTCATGGAAGATCGGCACCCTAACTCCAGCGGTAATTACCCGTTGTTCCGTGCAGTTGCAAACATCGCACCAAACTGTATCAGACGGGGGCGCCACAGCATATGGTTTAGAGTACAAGAAGTAAACAAGGAGCACAGTTGTAAAAAGTACAAACAGTTAACTCGTGTGATTAATAAATCAAACAGCGTAAACACCGATGAACATTTTCAAATAAAACGAAATAGGAAAAAAAGAATCAGACGGGGGCGCCACAGCATATGGTTTAGAGTACAAGAAGTAAACAAGGAGCACAGTTGTAAAAAGTACAAACAGTTAACTCGTGTGATTAATAAATCAAACAGCGTAAACACCGATGAACATTTTCAAATAAAACGAAATAGGAAAAAAAAAAAGAATCGGCAGGATAACAACACAGGCACAGTCCAGTGCACTGTGCAGATGTTCTTTCTTGGAAAATGAAATTCTCGCTGAATCTACGCCTGGCATAGCCATTGTTTGGACGGTCTAACTACCCCCGGCAATCGAGGGTCGATTTTATTACAGATGGCTGACAATTTGAGATACTTGCAAACTCGATGAAAAGCACTTGCCTTCCACAGTTGACCAAACCTATCCCCCTTCCTTAGCCCAAAACACAAACATTGCCATAACCGGCAAACTCTGTCAGGCCAGATTAGTCCGCGCACAGCACACATGGAGTTGCCGGTTCGAGCCTCGGAGGTTGCTATGCATCGGACTGATAATAAGCCACAAATTGTCATTCCAGTCTCCCTTGTCCTTGTCGGTAATATATTTCTGCCTATAATATTCTAGCCGTTGAGCGGCTAGTGACAGGGCTTTAGAGCGAGTTCTAAAGCACTCGGGGGACGAATGAGTTCATACTAATCGGTGAGCGTCAACCTACCATCGAGAATAGAACTAGATTGTGT